AGCCGTGAAAGCGGAGGGGCATTATGCGGTTCGAGCCCGCGACCGAGTAAGTCATAAATCGAGTTTACGCTTGAACGTTCCGCGTGTTATCACCTCTGTCACGCGATCGTCGACTGTTATCTGCTCGACGATTGAAAACGATGAAAACGACCTCGACTGACCCAGACCCTTTTTGCAATCTGTTCGTCCCATCGTTACGCCGGTGGAGAAGTAATAATAATAAGGGAAAAAGGGATCTGGAAAGAGAATAAGGAGATCGGTGTATTTTCGAACGAAATTCTTGAGAGTTGAAATGTTGAGTAAGTGCCTTTGGCAAAGAGTTGAGGATAACATTGAGATAGAAATCGATATTGCGTTGAGGGTGATTCTAAAATCAACATTGAGATTAACATTGCATTGAGGGGTGAGTATTTGATTCTCTGAATATATTATTCGCTCACGAGGGTCGCAAATGAACTCTAGGTTACGACAGAGTAGTAGTCTGATAGTAATTTTTGCTGTCAACGTGGTGAAATGAAATTTTTGAAATTGCTCCCGAATTTATTCTTCGTAATTACGGTTCCTTTGAAACTCTTTTCGAACTCTTCTCGAATAAAATATAATAAAACATAATTAAAAATATATATATATATATTGACATATATTACTTTTCGAAGTCGAAGATAATTTTTACGAGATTTTCATGAATATTCAATTTCGATATAAAAGTGTAAATTGATCTTAGAATGGCGTGCTCGTTAGAGAGAAAAAACGAAAGTGTCATTTGGTGAGGAATATTCAACGGTATCTCATGGGATATTCTCGGAGGGGGGAGATCCTTGTTAAAGTATTTATGATCGTCTGGGTTTATAATGGCTGTATGAACGTGATGATTGCAAATCTATACGTATTTATATATTCAGTGACACATAAATTTACAATCATTATAAATACGTGAAACAAACGCGGTTGTATGCGTTATTCGCAATATCGGATCTTGTAGGCGGTGGTTATTTTTAATCGTATACGTGCTAGATAATTAAAGGATCCTTTATTTAAATGTTTATATTGTTTGGAACAAGTTGGAATGCAAGTTTGTTTCTTATTGTGCAAGATGTAATTGTTTAGAGCTAATGTATTAAATTTTAATTATAGACTCAAACATTTTTATTGATTATCGAATTATTACTGTTTCGATTATTCCACATTAATAAATTTAAATTATTAATAATTTGTTATCGTGTAATATATAGAGACTATTAATAATTATCAACCATGTAATAATTAATAATAACTTATCAATATTGATGAATAATTCAAAGAAAACAGAATCGAATTTAAATTTTCAATCATTAAATGTAAATATAATTTGTCGTATATACAATTATTATAACAATTCCCGTTTGATTTAAAAAATTTTTTACATTCAAGCGTCTCAAAAAAATATTGATACATAAGCATCCATGTTCTAGAAACTAGGTACATTAAGCTAAGAGTATACTATAAATTTGATACTTAAATCATAATCTACTTCAATCAATCTGCCACTCCTTCGATCCTTGAAATTCTTAGGCGTGGAATCTTCCTCGCTTAATATTTCATGCTCCCCAAAATTTTAAGTCTGCATGATTCATAACCGATTTTCTCTAAAACAACCCTTCTCGCGCATCAAAGTTGAAAAGCCGATGTCCCAGATCGTCTATCCATTTAGAACACACGCTAAACAAACGAAAAAGTCGGATTCACGTATCGATTCAATCATTTTAATCCGATCAATTGGGTTATAGTCTCGTCGCCATTTTCTAAAGCGATATTTTTATTCGATGGTTTTATACGTTTGCCCCTCTATTGTTACACAGATTCGTTGTTTCCAATAGATATACGATATAGCGGGGTATTACTTTTGCATTATTTATCGCGTGTGTGCGGATTTATCGTGAATTTACAATGAAATTTAGAAAAAAAAAAAAAATACCGATCTGGAATGGTAAAAATTCCGTATATAAAAGAATTTCCCGTGAAAGATTATGAGAACATTTGAACAAAAAGATTTTGATCCTTGTAAATCACACACTGTGGAATGTAATCAAATTTTTATCCGATTCTATTTCCAGTTTCAAAAACTGGAAATAATTTTTTTAACCTTTGTAGCTACGATAATTTAAGATGTTTCGTGTTTAAAATTTCTTATGTGAAAATATTTGTATACGTTAATAATAACTGTCTACCTAAAATAAATTCGCGAGATTAAAAAAATAAAAATAAAAAGAGAGATATTGAAGAACGAAAGAATAATTTATATCGTCTCTTTTACTATTTTGCAATCTGCTAAATTCTACGTAACAAAATTTGTTTATTTCTATTAAATTGCGTCTTTGAAATAGATTAAATGATTAAAAATGAAAAGGAAAAATATATTTTTTACTCCGTTAAATTCTGCAAAGAAAAAGTTTCATCCTTTCTAAATTGTAAATCTCTAATACGAATCACGATTTTTTATATTCGATTGATGGAATCTACCTGATCGATTTCATCAATTCGATCAAGAATCCTTCGAATAACGAAGATGGAATAATTAGAACGAATATCTATGGAACAAAGAATGATGATGAGTTCGCAATATCGGTTTAATGGTTTTAATCTGATCGATCGTATTTTCATCTTTCTCAAGTATTTCCAATAATCCTTATGTTTAATTATTTTTAACTAGAATATTTAACGAATAGAAGAACTTACTCGTTCCATTGTCGAAATCAATCGTGATAATTTGGTCAATCGTTTTTAATCTACAATCTACGAGTAATAGGTGTTCTCGAATTTAACGTGTTATTATTTTTACATTAACGAAGTTTTCGTAGCTCCAAGTTGATTGCAATTTAATTAAATCACTTAATCCTATATAATCTGAATTATAATCTTACTTTTTTTTATTATTATTATTATCTTGATTCTTTTTCAATTTTTTTTTAATTTCTTAATGATACTTTAACAACAAAATAAAAACTTAAGAAATTAACTTAAAAATTAATATTAGATAGTTATGTGCGAGTCAAATATTTTGGTATTACACGCAATGTATCAAAAAGACGTTTTTCAATTACAATTCAAAGTTTAAAGCTATCGGAAAATCTCGACAATTATAAGAACAAAATAATAAGAAAAGAATGAAATATAAAGTATAATAATAAAATCGTAATAATTAACATAATTAATACTCGAAATTAATTCAAGATTATATTATTAGTCACGCAAATTTTTCGAATGCCATATAAGTTACGTACAAAAATACGAATAGTTGTTATTTAAAATCAAAGATATAAGAGGATATAAATTCTATAGATTATAAAAAATCGAGAAAAATCACGAAGGCGTCGATAATTAAGGATGCAGTGGGAAAATCATTGTATGCATCGAGAGGATGCAAACATGGAAACGCCTGTGAATAATGAAGCAACTTGTCTTATTTGCATTACTTGAAATATGTTATTACATGATGCAGCTGGCTCTAACGAGTTCCTGTCGAAGTGCGTTGAAGACACTGATTAATAAGACGGCAGAACAAAAAGGTCTCCTACTCGAAATGCATCTATGTCAACATAGTACTAGGATAGAGAGACACGAGCCACTTGCGTCTATATATTCTGAAAAAAAAAAGTATAAAATAAAATAAAATAAATATAAATATAAAGCAAAATTACATATACACATGGTGTAGAAGTACAAGAAAATTTATATCAGTAAAAAGCATTAGAAAAATTTATCTCTTCTCTGTCCATGAACCATTTCTTGTTTACCTTTTATTTTAAAATTTTTACGAAAATTATTGCTCATAAGATATTGCTCATAATATAAATTTTAACCGTAAAAATATGAGGATCTATTCAGCTTTTCCTTTCTCACAGTTCAATACTGAATATCACATTAATCATTGTGCTTTAAACGAATCCTTATTCTTCATTTATATCGTCCTCTTCCAACGTTGTGCAAATCGCCTATGATTTTTAGCTGACGTTAAACGACGTTGCGCCAGCCAGCGAGTTGAAATGACTCACCACATGACGTATTGTGCGTCCCTAAAAGGACGGACAATAAACATTCTACGCTTTTTTTTTTCTTTCTTTTAAATTTTTCTTCATCTTTTCTTTTCGTTGAATAGGTAGGTGAAGGCGCTTGTTAGCAGAGACAAGCAACTTTTGAAGAAGTTCTGTTACAGTCATGACATTTCCTTGAAAAATAACATTTCTGTTTGTTGTCACATTGTATTGTAAATTTTATGTATATATAATTTATGCTCAACGTTAACTACCTCAAATTAAGAGTTAAAACATGTAAAAATATCATAATGCAATTTTATTCTTTCATTATCAATTTATATCCCCATATTTCTATTATGTTTTAACAGTAATTTATCCAATCATCTAATATCTTTAATCATTATTAAGAGATCGTTAATAAGAATAATTTTATTAATTGTTATCCCCTATAAATCAAGATTATTCGAGTACAATTTCAAAACAATTTCATATTTTCCCGCGAACAAATCTTTCAATACGCGTCTCGAGTTATACAATATACATAGCTGGCAAATATATGTATATCTTTATTTTTATCGATCGTGAACGATGTAACGGCATGCCATTATCCACGTGTCTTCTAATTTCGAGGCAAAAGGGAAAAAAAAGATACTGCTTTCCTTGATTAAAATTTTTAGCTCGGTTGGACGAGCTTATCTCTTCGCTCCTCCAGCTTAATTAATCTTGAGCTTAGCTCCTCGAACGAGGAATCATCCCTAATCAATATCGAAACGCTTTTTTATCCCCAAGTTTTCATCGATCCTTTGACAATGAATTGTACTTTAATCGATACGATCTATATACGATATGATTGAAAACACAAGTAAAAAGGGAGAATGAAACGAGGGAAAGAAAAAGAAAAAAAGAGAAAAAGAACAGGATCGTTACTCATTTCTCTTTTGTAGAAAATACATTCCTCGTGTTAATGTTCTGTGAATTTTCTCGCAGAAGAATGGACGGAAACGTTCCCGTATCAGCTGCTGGTCGGAACAGGAGTGGCGTTGATGGCTCTATTACTGCTGGCCGCCGTGAGTTTTCAATGTTCTTCGACCTGGCAATGGTTAATGAGGGTGAGACGGCACATGAAGGAGGAGGACGCCGAGAGCGACTTATCGCAACAGAACGCCATACGTATCAGTCATTCTCTGCCGGATCTCCAATCTGAGCCGATCACTCATGAGTACGTCCAGGAGCAAAAGGATAGCAAAAAGGTATGAAAAAATTGTTGTTTAATTAGCGTCGTCAAGAATATTACCTTTGTAAATGTAAACACTCCGTGTGCGATAATGAGATTAAAATTTTGGAAATTTCGATCGATGGCAAATTCGATGGTTGGAGTTTGTAAATATAAATATATTTGATATTTTTTTTTAAAGGTATTAAGTAATTGAAGATATAATTTTGAATATATGACGTAGGCGTGAATAATGTTTAAGAATTTTCGTGGAAGTTTGAATATGCATGAAGTGTTTTAAATATTGATTAATCAATTATTCGTCGAGAGAAATTTTCGTTTTAATTATTAAGAGTTATTAAGACTCTTCGCTAAAAAGATTCTAGATTTCTAAATTTTGAAACTTTAAACGATTTATGATTGTAAATTTCAATCCAAAGAATTAATGACTTTCTCAAAGATTTTTTCCTTTTTTTATATTTTTCCATGTTTAATATTTATGCTTTACTTTGAAACATTTCCTTATATTTTTAAGAGATGTGCAACATCTAAGAGCACTATGTATACAGCAGTCTATTTTTCACTCGATAACGTGTTTACTGATCCCATTTACCATCCACCATCCATCATCAATATCATGTTGCAATAAAAAAATTAAGAAATCTTAACGTTAATAAATCTCTTAACAAGAGTACAAAATATTGTGCGTAAGAAAAAATTAGTGAATAAATTAATAAAGATCTTGGAAAGATGCAAAAATATTGCTTGAGTATTATTTCACATTAGCACTCAAGTGTAGAAAAATTTCTCTGTTTAAATTAAAAAATAAATTTTTAATTTAATAATGAGTAGCGTGATAAATGAACTTTTGCACCCAAATTCTACTCTCGAAAGAGTTCAAATTAAAAATTAAAAAAAAAAAAAAAACAAAGGGGGAGAAAAGAATACTTAAAGGAAATAATTAAAAGTTATTTAATAATAGCAATTTAAATCATTCAACTAATTACCTCACTTCCTTATTCCCTTGCAAAAATAGCATCAAAGAGATTATTCTTTCTTCTCCAGCTTGTTCTTCGCAAATTCTCGCATAACAGTTCCCAAATGAGTAAATGAAAATTTCATGTATATCCATGAAACATTATGGAGGAAAGTCGGTAGTCAACGAGCTAACGAAGGGGCGGTCGACTTCCGGGATAAACTTGTGAAATATTGAGAGATCTTGGACGTATCAAGCAACGATTTTTTTCTAGGTATTGCGCCAAACAACTTTGCCCATTGTCCCGATGAGGCACCAGAGCTTTCAGAGGCAGCTCTCCCATCGTCTCGATCTACCCATCAAATTCAGCATCTATAGTCTGGATAAACGTAGCGATTCCAACCTTGGTTTAATCAAGGTACGCCACGAAACTCAAAAATTTCTCTATATTTCGTTCTATAAGCAGATCTTCAAGAAGAAGATTTCGAAAAAATAGTTTCGAAAATAATTTTGATAAAAGTTTAATATCTAAGGAATTTTTAAAAATAACAAATAATTAGACTTGCGAATATTTATACAAAATTTGAAATTGAACAAAATTATAGCTAAAATTTCATTTCCTTTTCTTCTAAACTAATTATTTGTAAAAATTTGAATATAAAAATCCTCGTTAATAACATTGTCTGTCTCCCAGAATAAAGTGGATAACATTGAATAGAATAATTCTGAAAGAAATTGAATGTCTCGAAAAAAAAGGAAAAGTAAATAAAAATAAAGAAACCGGAGGAAACAATCGACTCTCAAAATAATCGAATCCAGGGAGAAAGCAAAAAGAGTACGAGTCAAATAAACTAAACGATTTAATGAAACTTTCCCATTCAAATTTCCCGAAGAATTCGTCCCCGTGGAGTTCAGACAATGAAACAAACTAGGAAATTCACTTTGGCCAGAAAGTTTCAAACGTGCGACTTTGCTTTTCCAGCCGGAACTTTACAAAAAGGAATTGGGAGACGATGCTGAGAGCGCGAGCATCACGGAAATGGAGTATGCCGGCAAGCTGCGTTTTGCTCTGCGCTACGACAAGGAGATGGAGGGGTTGGTGGTCAAAGTGAGTGTCGCAATTTCTCAAATAAATCCTCACGTTACTTCTTTTCCTTTGCACGCGATATAAATAGCCAAGATATATATATATATATCGCGGAAACATGTGTCAATATTTTCTGCCTTCGTAAAAAATATTATTGCAATCGTTTCGAATGGTATACGCGATAAAATTACAAAGCTTGAAGAAGTATTCAAGAGTATTTCAGAAAAGTGCACAATACTCGTTAAATCTCAAAATCGGTAGGAAATCCTTTTTTAACGATATCCGATAAAATTAATGGGCGGTCTAACTATGTACAAAATTATTAAAAAAAGAAAAAAAATTTTAAAACTCTGTTCAATACGCCTTTCGATCTATAAAATATTTTATAAATTGAACCTTTCAGCAAAATCGTTTATTAATGTCGCAAAATCGCACCAATTAAGTATTTCAGAAAAATATATAAATCGGTAGAAAATCCTTTTCACGACAGTATCCAATTATTCGTTCAAAATTATATATAAAATAAAAGAAAAAATATTTTACACCTCTCAGCAATATCCAATTCCAATACGAACAGAGGAAATTTATTCAAACCTTGGAGAATTAAACCATTTTTTAAACCATTAGTCCTGGAAGGGAAGTCCTCGGCAATACAGGAGAATTAAAAGATGGCTACGAATCCGACCACGAACGCGATTACCCTTGTATCGAAAGCCTTTGTACGTGCACAGCAGTCACGCTCTTATTCCCTGGAAAGCTTTTTTCCAACGCGGTGCACGTAGCCCGCGAAATCAACGTAGGACAAGAGGAATTCTTTCCACGAAAACGATGGCCGACATTCGCGCTCCAGTTCCATCGTTTCCCTCAAAATCGCATAGCTCTCGATACGTTCAATCGCCTCGGATTGATTCTCGTTCAAGGTCGTCGTGGCGAGAGAAAGAATCCGTCGAGAAAAATGCATAAAAGCGGATAAAAAGCGGGCTAATCCCCGCTCGAGGAGAAATTAATTTTCGGTATTTTCGTCGTCGCGCGATTCGAATTCTTTATCAACCGTTTATTTCGAGTTATCGATCAGTTTCGTTAATAAACGCGATAATTCATGGCTGGATTCTGGTAGCTAATCCTCGTGTGAATGCTCGTGGTTGGAAACCACGTTATCCAAGAACTTATATTTGAGTGGGGGAATGCCCATTAGGGATTCGTTACCAAGTTCGGAATATCGGTAATAATTGTTTTGTTTATGGAAATGTTGTTGTTAAACAATTTTGGAGATTAGGTGAAAGGGGATACGGATTTTCTCTGCTTTATCGTTAATTTATATTTACGTACACGTAATAAAATCTGTTTCTCCTAACACTTTCTTTCTTTACACATTTATCGCTTAATTATTCCTCTTAAATTATGTTCTTCTGATAATTGCGCTTAATTATTCTAAGTAAATAAACCTAGAATAGATATTTTTAAATTATTTATTTTTTAAAAAAAGAACTCGTTCTTGTTTAAATTTATTACTCGTTCTGTTCGATCCCTTATCTTATCTTTTATAATACCTGTTTTTACCATTTATAAAATACATTTATACACTGAAAATCACTGAATCCATCAATCATTAAAATTGAAATTCCTATTGTGCAATAAAATTTTGTCCCGTATCTTCCTCCCGTTCTCATGTTTTAACCATTTCACAATGCGCAAATGCCCTCCATTGACGCACCATTTTAACCACCTCTGCGGTTATAACGACGAGAATAGGACGATCGTTATCGCAGTTAGACCGATTCCATTCTACTGGCCGAGATCCATCAGCTACTGGCGAGAACGTTTCTCGCAACGTTTCACGCGCGTAGGCAAATTCATCTCGCGGCTGCATTCGATCGAGCTAATTACACCAGTCGCCATATTTAGCTCGAGCTATTGGATAACGATAATAAAGTGCATAAATACATGGACGTACACTATGACGGCAACCACTCGGCTAGATTATCTCCAACATGGTGATGGCGCAATTGTCGCCCTCGATTCGCTAATAAGCAATGTGTCGGTGTGGAATGGAATCAAGGGTGATGGAGTTTCGTTCTAAACAGGGCGGAACCCACGTTTCGTGACACAGATATGTAAATAGCGATCGGATGATCGCGTTTTTATTCATAAATCTATATTTTATATAGGGCGCAGAAGTATGAAAGAACGCGGTTAAAATCAATCATCAATATTTGAATTCTTTCCCCCTTCTTCTTTTTTTTTTCTTTTTTTTTTTTCTCTTTCATCAATTCTTTGTCCACCGCGTGATTATGGTAATAATAGGGATTAAACGATGTTGCATTCAGTGGAAGAAGGATTAGGAATATTTTTTATTTATCATTTGGAGAAATTTATTACCGCGCATTGTTTTGTTTTTCGTTCTATTCGGATCTCGTGAAATATCAGTATTTTCAAATTTAATTTTTTAAAATTTTAAAATTGGAGGAATTCGTACGAAAGTATTTGTAATTTAATTTTTATAAAATAAAGGAATTTAATATTTTGTGTTATTTTCATTATTTTTTTTTTTTTTTTTTTTATCTTTTTCACTTTTCATTCTTCAATGGATTTTAAAATTATATACTTTTGATACGTTTCGTGAAACGTTTGTTTTTCCTTATTTTTAGAATAGAAATCTTATTTTTGATCTTACAAATATGATTAATCGTTAAATTAATCGTGAACTTTATGTTTTTAAAAATAACGCGTACGTAACGTTTACAAAGTTTAATGTTTGTTGTAATGTTTAATGAAGTGTTGAGTATTTTTTTTTTTTTTTCTCCAAGGCACTTTAACTTTCGATTTGCGCCCTTGAAAACTTCGTCTTTAAAATTTCCCACGGAAAACAATCTATTTACAAGCTTGTTTCCTCGATCATCCCAATCTATCAAATATTCCGATTTATCTGATATTTAACAACACTTATTTTAAACTAATATTTACGCGATAATACAATTATTAACAAAATTTCAGACAGAACCACGAATTTTGTTTATTTAAATTTTTATTCGAAGCAAGACGGATACGAAACATCAATCTGTCACATTTCCATATTCCACAATATACTTTCCCCTCGAACGAATCGGTTTCGCAGTTTTCTGCATACAAAACAGCTTCGAGATTCCAGATAAATGGATCAACCTTCCTACAATAGATGTAATCTATTCATAAAAGAAAAAAAATTCTCATAAAAATTATAAAGATATACTCTACGTTACACGATTCGACTCGAATTACATTCTTACAAATTAGTTTATTATCCAACAGTCAATACAAATCAGAATCACATTTGTTGCCTGTGAAGAGCAAAAAAATTATTTGCATGCACCCATGTTTCTTAATGAAACATTTTGTTAATTTCGTTGATATTTGTTTGTTCCATTCGCATTACAAAATCTTTTTAATATTCTACATTTGGACACGATTATTAATTAGAATGTCGATGAAAGAAGATCTGAGAATGTCTTTCTTGATCACTATAAATTACAAAAATTATATTCTTTTAGATCTTAGAGGCTCGAGAATTGCCGGTGAAGGATGTGACAGGCAGCAGCGATCCCTATGTGAAGGTATACCTTTTGCCAGATCGAAAGAAGAAATACCAAACTAAAGTGCATCGAAAGAATCTGAACCCCATATTCAACGAAACCTTCATATTCAGGTTAGCACATAATAGACAAATATATTCGAATTTTTTCTTTTTTTAAATTAAACGAAATACTCTATAAACTTATATACTATACATTTCTGAATTTATGGATTATGAATTTGGAAAATTGTATAAATGGACAGTATATCGCATTTCGATATAAATAAAATAAGCAATTTTATCATTGAATGAATAAAAATTTATGGATAAAGATTTTTTATCTTCTATGTACATATGTGGCGCATTTATGTTGTGTACAGGATATAACAGTTTGTTATATAAAATTCGCGGAAAAATGTAGAGTATGCAGAGAATTTGTCGAGTGTCTATTTTGCCAAATTCCATAAACTATCTGCAAGCGTTTATGAATATTATTCATAAATATGCGTATATGTATATGTGTCTGCAAACAATGTTTGTAATTTTATGCACGCGTTTTATGAATTGATATCTGTCACCAGCATGTCGTATGAGGAATTGAAGGAACAGTATCTCCAATTTTCTGTCTACGACTTTGATCGATTCTCCCGAAACGATTTAATCGGACAAGTGGTGCTCAAAGAATTGCTGGACTGCACCGAACAGGAGATCGAATATACAATGGAAATTCTGTGCGCCATGCAGGTAACGAATATGAACTTTCGTCATTCGATTCGATCCTTTCATTCGCATCATTGTGCAAAATTTCTTTATTCCATTTCGATTTCAAGTTTCATTTAAAAATAGCATAATGCAGCAGATAAATCATTGTGAAAATAGAAAAGTAAAATTGATATTTCGAATTGATTGGATTGTATTATTTATGTTATATTTATATTTGTATTAATTATAATTGTGTTATGGAAAAATTAAAAAACTTGGCACAAAATTTTTGCAAAAAAAAAAAGTCAAAATATCTAACTATAAGAAAGTATAAGTATAGAAAAAAAATAGAATACAAAATATAAAAATACAGTCGTCGCTTTAATTTTTATTTTTGAAAAATATTTTTCAAAAAACAAAAATTTGCATTGAATGTCAAGAAAAATATCAAGGAAATTTTCTATTTTAATCTCGATTTTCATCGACGGCTTAGCTTCCTCCACTTTAGAAACTGAATCGGTTTCACTTCGTTCCTTTAGGACAAGGTTGACCTAGGAAAATTGATGCTGTCTCTTTGCTATCTGCCAACTGCTGGTCGGCTAACAGTGACTGTAATTAAAGCGAGAAACTTGAAAGCCATGGATATAACAGGATCATCAGGTAAATTTGCACGAAACTGTTCCCCGAATTTGTCCAACAATAAAATATAATAAAACAAGGCGAAAATTTTCAAACAAACAAACAGTGTATCCACAAGCGACATCCATTTAATCGTCGAATTGTTACTCCACAACTTCTTGTTCTAGATTTATCCATTAATAACGTTATTTATCCGACATACAATTTAATTTGATATATTCGTTAAATACATATTAAATTACAATTCATAATTTTATTATTTAAATAATTAAATAATTCTCTGCTTTAAAGACTTTAGCTTTGCGTAAATAAATTGTTATAATAACACTTCTTTTACGAAGCTGGAATATCAAAAGGAAAATTCACAAAATAACCGTTAATAAATTTTATTTTTACGTTAATAGTACTTTTCAAAATTGAATTTTTGATTTAAAAAAAATAGCGCTTATTAAAATTCTAACACTTCAAACAGTACAGTATACAAAAGAATATCCTTCTTTTCTTTAATATACAAAAGAATGTCTTTATCAATTTCAATACTCCAATTCCATTTTCAATATATTCCAACTTTTGCCTTCAATATTTCAAAAATATCCGATTCACACTTTCCTTCCAAAAACTGCGCATCTTGCGAATATCATCCATTCTCACTTTCCACCTGTCAAAGAGAAACTTGTATAAACACACACACAGCACGACCGATCCTTCGACATATCATATTCCGTCTCTCAATAACACAGGAAAACATCTAAGAAACGTCTATTTGCAGATCCGTACGTGAAAGTGTACCTGCTGTGCCAAGACAGACGGATCAAAAAGAAGAAGACCTCTGTGAAGAAGAACACTCTGTTCCCGGTGTACAACGAGATCCTGGTGTTCGACGTGCCCGCGGAGAACATCGAGGACGTGAGCCTGATAGTAAAAGTAATCGATTACGACAGGTACGTGGGCGACAAGACCGAAGGATAATCCAGATCTCTGATCATCGATCGGTCTGACTTTTCCTTCGTAGGATCGGCTCGAACGAATTGATGGGTTGCACGGCGATCGGCGCAGATTTCATCGGTATCGGACGCGAACAATGGCTCAAGATGTTGGAGAACCCGAGGAAACCGGTGACGCAATGGTACCCGCTCATGGAAACCATCCCTGGACACATCCCATCCGTGAGTTCGGAACCACTTCCAGTGAGTTTGAGCTGCTTGAACAGCAGGTGAGTAGGTTTTTGCTTTAGAGAGATCAGTGAGTACGATATCTTTGATTTAACTTTGGAAGTTAAATATGAATACGAATAAAAAAAAAGTAGAATTCTGACAGAGATTTGGGAGATTGGGTCAAATATCTTCTTTTTTCATTTTCATTTTCGAAGATACTTTTTTGAAGTGATAGGAAACAAGATGTGTTTGTTAATTTTTTTTATTATAAATTTATTTCTTCTATCGTTCCACTTTGGGAAATGAATATTTATGGGATTGAACGAAACGTCGATATGGAACGGAGAAAACTTTTTGCAGATGAAAACAGCACGGTCGGGATAGGTATCGCGAGAAGTCGCAGTTCTTGCCGGATGTCGGCTTGGGCGTTGTTTCCTTCTGTCGTCATTTAATGCACACCGCTTGACTGACTTAAGTACAATTTCTATCTCATCAAAAAAAAAGAAAAGAAAAAAAAAGAAAA